AACAATCTATATCGGTATCGGAATGCTTTATTTTCAAAAAATAGGGTGCCAGGTCAAAAACATTTTTTTCATTTTTTGGACTTATAATTCAACTTACGGATTTGTCTTTTTGGAACAATGTTTGGAACAACTAGAACAATCTATTGCGGTATCAGAATGTTTGATTTTCGAAAAGTGGGGTGCCAGCTCAAAAAATCATTTTTTTTGTTTTATTCGAAAACCGTTTTAAATAAAGCAATATCACTTTGGAACAATGTGGTACAAAGTCAGAACAATCTGGAACAACATTCAAAATTATAAATTTCAAAAAGTGAGGTGCCAACTTCATACACTTCACGTTATCACATTTCATTGACAACACAGACAAATAGTATAGTCACGTAAAAAGTGCGTAATATATATACGTAAGGATATATTTTTACTTATACACATAACGTATACAACTAATTAATATTAATTCAACTAATCAATAATTCTACTATATATCTACTGGTATATTGACTAATTAATATTAATATTAATTCAATATCAATATTACCAATCTCCAGGGTTGGGAAGTAACTCGTTACTTGTAACAAAGTTACAGTTACAATTACATTTTTTCGGTAACTGTAACCTAACTTAGTTACTTTTTTCCCACCTGTAACTGTAACTTAACTTAGTTACTTATTTTTAGTAACTTGTAACTTTTTTAATAGTTACTTGGGAAACATAAAATAAAATAAAAATTACATAATAATTGTATAGTAATTTAATAAATTTACCAACGTATTTATGGAGCATGTAATTAGATTCTTTTATCTTTACAAGACTACTATTAAATTTTTATTATGTTAAGTACAGATTTGAAATTTGTTAAGTGGACAGACTAATTAATGTGATAGATATTAATTATAAAATTTAATTCCTATATTTTAGTAAAGCTTAAAATGTAAGATTTTTGTATTTACATTAATAATTTACAATCATTTCAAGAAAATAACTTAAAAGTAACGACTCGTTACTTTTTGAGTAACTGTAACGAGTTACTTTTCATAGCCAGTAACTTGTAATTGTAACTAGTTATATTTTTAGCAAAGGGAACTGTAACTGTAACTAGTTACTTTTAAAAAATAACTTTCCCAACCCTGCCAATCTCTTTCTCTCTCTCTCTTTCTCTCCCTCTCTCTCTCTCTCTCTCTCTCTCTCTCTCTCTCTCTTGCGCGCGTGCTCTTTCTGTGCCTAAAGGATTTATTCTGTAACTTTTAAGGGTCTGCAGAACTCATAACGTGTGTAGTGACTTATCGCGGAAAGCTGCGAAATAGATAAAGGCATTTGACATATTTGACCAAAATACGGAGAAAATCACTTTGTATTTATAATATTTATAATTCGCAGAAACATCTGCACTATATCTGAGATACAAAGCATTTTTTGGAAACAAGTGAAATTAAAAATCGAAACTTATTTAAATGAACATTTGATGCGTGGTGCAGTATGAGTCTATATTTTTAATTATTACAAATTTCCAAGGACCTAAATGTAAAATCGGGCTCTGTAGTATTCTTGCTGCTTATATAAGGAAGATGTCAAAAAAGCTTGGTAAGCAAATATAATGTCGACAAAGCAAAATACGCCAAGTTACAAATACCACGGAAAATGTAGCCCAGTTAGCTGCATTAACTTGTAGCTGTTGCGTCCGTGCGAACGATGATTAGTCATGTATATGAATACATAACTACACACATAAAACAGTATTTCACGCTCTCATCACATGAAACTTTCATAGTCGAATCAAGATTTACTCTTGGCTCCTGCAGTATGACGGTATTGTTATCATTACGTTGTTGTTGCGCAGGTATAATGTATGGTAGGTAATATAATTGCACAATTATAACATAACGATAACAACGTTGTTGTTAAAAATTACAAAATAGGGCCTCAAGTGTCAGAAATTTAATTGCACAGACAAAAATTATTTTTCTTCTCGGATTTTTGAAATTCCGTGATATTATTTAGACGCGTGCGATTATCTTTTTAAATTTTTGATCGGCTATCTTTTCCTTATGTTTCCATCATTACACGCAATACGGACAAATATGAAAGAGAGGTTTTTATTATACTCATGAAAGTTTCCATATATTCACGACGAGAAATTTGCCGGCCGCCAGCTGAATAGGATCCTGTGCCCGCGCGATAACGAACAAGATGTTTCTCATCATTTTAAATGAAAAACTGTACCAATTGCTATTGAAAATCGCGTATGCAATTTCTTCCATTTGAGACTTTATATAATCTCCCACGTAGCTGTAGGCAAATATCTGTGTCAGTAGAGTAGTCTGCACCCATATAGTTTTAGTTATCATGATTATCGCCCACTTTTAATGCTAAAATAAGTTGAAAACCTGAAAAAGACACTGCGATCGTATTTGCAGCATACTAATAAAATACACTGGCATATATTATATGCCTGAGGATTATTTATTCGACAATTCATGTTATATAGCACGTCATGGAAAAGATACACAACAACGAAAAATGTAATTTTTACGGCGAGCAAGAGAATGATAAAATCGCATAAAAATCAATGCATCAATTATAAATTAAGAAAAAGATACAGTAAATATTGAAAATACAATTTTGTGTGTGAAATGTATAATCTTATATATCTTATTGCCAAATAATAATCGCAAATTTTGGTGCTATATCACTTTTGCGGATATGAAATGTAAAGTAAGGTATATTTACCGATTATACAAACAAGGACGGAACTGATGAGCAGTTGTATCACTAAAACGAAGCTAATCGTATCAGCCAGAAGCGTTGCTTGATGCAGCAGATGCTGATGCCTTCTCACCATTTTTGAAAAATCTTCATTCGGATTGGAGCTTCTCACGCCTAAATTCTCAAACTCAATTTTCAGAATTTGCACTTGTCCGCACACGTGCAACGTGATAGCGAGGAAAAGGGAGTCTCCACCTTGATGAATAAATGATAAATTGTTTTAAAACGACGAAACCTTCAGCACACATAATGAATGAATACATTGTAATTAGTGCACTAAAGACTGACACATTACCAAGATTGCCAGTGGAAATGTTGACCATTATAATGCTCTGCAATATAAAGAGCACGACGTGCACACTCGTCGACATGGACAAGCTTCCTAAGGTACACGCCGAGGGAATCGGATATATCGTATTAGGAATAACGACGGATCCATTTACTTGGACATCACTGTGGCCTATCACTAGAGGCAACGAGATGTAAAATACCGTAGCAACGTAAGAGACACACGCGACACAGTAGCAAATCGCTCTTCCCATGAAAGCGTGTCGCCGCATGACAACGCGCTGTTCCTCGTTGTCGATTGTGAGATAATCGTTTATGGCGGAGTTGAAATTGCTACTCAGATTGTCGGAATATATACGAAACCACGTTATCTTCAGTGTTGCCAGAGAGGTGCACGAGAAGATCAAAAGAGCATCGATTTTTGCGTACGGGTCGATACAAGTGTGATAGATTTCGAAGCTAAGGGTACTCAGCACCCATAACTGCACAGACAAGGAAGACAGACTGTTAATTAGAAGCGTATTTCGTTCTTTTCCTTATTTATTTTTTCATATATTACTTTTTAAGTCTACCGCGTCTATAACATATCAAACTACCAACCGATCTCGACAAGTCCCGTTTTACCAGCCCATGTTTGTTTGTACTATTTCATATCCGAGAATTATCATATCCGAGTACTATTATATATCCGAGAACGAAGCGGAGCAAAACTTCAATGTGCAGCTTATTTACGAGACAAAAGTAGAAAACGTACCAAACCGGCGACGGACGATATATCGTAGCAAATCGAATATATTATTTTCCTGCAGGGGCCAATAGCCTAGTGGGAAAGATAAAAGTTTGAGAGGAGTTAAAGCGTATGCCATATCGTCATTCCATTCCATTATTGCAGTGAAATAGAAAACTACGGTACTTGCACAGTGCTCGCTAATGTTGGTATGCGTCCGTAAAGATCGATCCGTATAGATCGATCACCGACGATCTTCGCTCGCGCATTCTTATATCTTATTTAAGTTACGCTATTTCAGTATTCACCGAATGCGCTCCATTATTTTTCAAACAACGCTTATTCAATGAAATTGATAGAAATAATTTTTTGATGAGAACAGACAGACAGGAAAGTGAATGACTATTGAAGGAAGGGAAAAAATTTTACTTTTATATTCGATATATTGTCTTCGGATACGTCTGTCGTTGATAATGCTGTATAACGCATCTTCTATTTTGATACTTTCTTTTCTAAAGAATATATACGAGAGATAAAGTTTATTAGTGACACACATCGTGCGGATTCATACTTTGTTCATATTTATATTTTGTCCAAACTACGTTATTTTATTCAAACTACGTTATTGCCGAATGCGCTTCGTCATTATTCAAAGGACGTTTATTCGACGAAGCTGATGGAAATAATTTTTCGATAAAAATAGCAAGAGATAGGAAAACGACGGATCGTTGAGGGGAGGAAGGAAATTTTATCTTTATTCGATAAGTCATCTTCCTAAACGTTTATCGTTGATGGCGTTGTATCTTCCACTCTGAAGCTTTTTTCTAAATGATATATATTATTGTTAGTACATTATTTTTCCGAACCAATACAAGCGTTTGGCGGATTTTTCAGGAACATTTCGCACATTATTAACACACGAGAATAAATCCTTATTTACACCGAATAGCTGAGTGTATTTTGAGGTTCTGACTAGAAGTTTTATTAAGAAATCATATTATTATAGCTACCTTTATAGATACCTTCTTGGTAAAGAGAATTTCTCCATTATAAGGATTAGACATTCGTTGCCACATGTTTCTCAACAAAGATCACCAAGATAAGAGTTCGGCATGTTGATGACGTAGATTATTCCTCTGAAGAAAGCATGTTTTCAGATTAAATAATAATACGTTACTTTTTGCTATTGATCGTGCGATGATAGCTCGTAGGGAATGATGAAGTTGCAAACCTGGTTATCGGCGGAACTAATATCTTCAAACAAACAAACTTATCTTAAAACAATATCTTAAAAATATCTTCAAACAACAAACAAAATTAGTATGTTGCAGGCAAAAAGCATCAGAAGTTGAAATCACATTTTTTTATGAAATTCTTTAAAAAATAAATTTCTAAAAAAAATTTTATTACCTTGATAAATCAAAATACGAGAGATAAAGTTTAAACAGAGATAATACCGTTGAACAGAGCAATAGAACTGTTTGTCATAGTGATAAACAACTTAAACTTTATCTTGTTACGTCATTAGAACGATATATGGCTGGCAATGCTGTACACCGTTTTTTAAAACGGTTTGAAAAAATTTTTTTCAATGTAGTCTGGAACCCAAGCAATAGCAATAAGAAGACTTAACTTCTGGGAATTAATCATAAACAAATTCTCTCTGGACCATCGACTACGTTATAAAATCGAAGCGCATTGAAAAAAAATATTCAAAGCATTTTATTCATATGGATAATTATAGATAATCGTAGAAGATAACTATGGAAAGAAAAAGAGGATCAGCACGTAGAACATACGCAGTATTGGTTTCGATTGATAAACGTTAATTCACGTAGAATTTGCACACATATATATGCTTAAGAATGCATTATTTATATACATAATTATATAATAATTTATATAAATGATATATACTATATAAATAATTTGTATATATTTAAGTGACACAATTGGAATATTACCGAACTGCTTAAATGCTTAACTGCTTAAATGTCAATCAATTTAATTATACCGATATGAATATATTTTTCTCGGATTTTCGAAACCGTGATATTACTTAGGTGTGCGATTATCTTTTCAAGCCATTCATTAGATATCCTCGCTCTACACTTCCACCATTACACGTAGAACGGATAGATACGATAGAGAAGTTTTTATTATGCTCATGAAAGTTTCCATGTTTATGACGATAAATTTGGCGGCCATTAGCTGTACAGGGTCCTGTGATCGTGCGATAACGAATACAACGTTTCTCATCATTTTAAACGAAAAACAGTACCAATTGCTACTGAAAATTGCGTTTGCAATTTCTTCGATTTGAGACTTCATATAATCTCCCACGTAACTGTAGGCAAATATCTGTGACAATAAAGTAAGCTGAACCCATGCTGTTTTGGCTATCATGATTGTGTCGCCTACTTTCACTGCCACGATAAGCTGAAAACCTGAAAAAGACATTTTATATTGCAATATATACAAAAGATCCTGATAAAATACTCCGGCATTAGCGACGGATTATTTATCTGATCATTTATGTCATATAGCATGTCACATAGAAAAGAAACATAACACGAAATATATAATTTTTATAAGAGAAGCAACAAAAAAAAAATAACTTCAATAAAACTGATTATATGCATAAATTATAGATTAATATAATACGTAATAAATGTTAAAAATACACAAATTTTGAGAAGTGTATCGTGTTATATATTTTATTACATTAAATGTTGGTGTGTTATCACTTTTGTGAATATAAGAGATATAAGGGATATTTACCGATTATACAAATAAGGAGACTACTGATGAGCAGTTGCAACACTAAAACGGAGCTAATTGTATCACAAAGAAGCAACGCTTGAATCAACAGATGTTGATGTCTCGTAACCATCTTCGAAAAATCCTCTTTCGGATTCAAACTTTTTACACCAAAGTTGGCAAACTCGACTTTCAGAATTTCCATTTGTCCGCACACGTGTAGCGTGATCGCAAGGAAGAGAGAGTCACCGCCTTCATGAATAAATGATAAATTGTTTTGAAACGACAAAACCTTCAGCACACACAACGAATGAATACATTGTAGTTCGTGCAAACTGTATTAGCGCGCTGAGGATTAGTTCATTACCGAGATTGCCAGTAGATATGCTGAATAATACAACACTTTGCCACAAAAAAAGTAGAATGTGCAAACTCGTCGGGATAGATAAGCTGCCCAAGCTACACGTCGAGGGAACCGGATATATCGTATTAGGAACAACAACGGATCCATTTATTTGGATACTTTTGTGGCCTATCACTAAAGGCAACGAGACGTAGAAAATCGAACCAACATAAGCGACACACACGACACAATAACAAATCATTCTCCCCATGAAAGCATGCCGCCGCATGACAAAGCGTTTCTCCTCGTTATCGACCGCGAAATAATCGTTTATGGCGGATTTGAAATTGCTACTCAGGTTGTCGGAGTATATACGAAAACACGTTATCTTCAATAACGCCAGCAGACCACACGCAAAGATCAGAATAGCGTCGATCCTTGCATACGGGTCCATGCAATTGTGGTATATTTCGTAGCAGACGCTGGTCAGCACCCAGAGCTACACAGACAAGAAAGACGATTGTTTATTAGGAGGATCGTATCTTGTACTTTCCTTATTTTTTTATATAATCTTTTAACTTTTTACCGCGTCACACTAACGTGTCAAACTACCAACCAACCCCGAGAAATTCCGTTCTATATACTAACAGTTCGTTCACTCTCTATTTCGAATATCTGAGAAAGAAATGAAAGGAAAACTCTCATGTGCGGCTTATTCACGTGACAAAAGTTGATAACGTACCAAGCCGATGACCGATACGATATATCGTAGCAAATCGTATATATTATTTTCCTGCAAAGGCCAGTAGCCTAATGGGTAAGATATAAGTTTGAGGGGAGTCAAAGCGTATGCGATATCGTCATTCCATTCCATTATTGCAGCGAAATAGAAAACTACGGTACTTGCACGGTGCTCGCTAATGTTGGTATGCGTCCATAATTTGGGTCGATCACGGGCGATCTTCGCTTGCGCATTCATATTTTATTTAAGCTACGCTATTTTAATACTTACCGAATGCGCTCCGTTATTTTTCAAACAACGTTTATTCGACGAAATTGATGGAAACTATTTTTTCATGAAAGTAGAATGATAGAGATGCGAATGACCCATGAGGGGAAGGAATTTTATTTTCATTCAGTTGCCTTTGAGTGCGTCTGTCGTTGATAGTGCTGTGTATCATCTTCCATTTTGATTCCTCCTTTTCTAAAGGATATATACGAGAAATGCAGTTTATTAACGACATCGCGATCGCTGGCGATCTTCGCTTGCATATTCATTTTCAAGCTACGTTATTTTAATACTTACCGAATATGCTCCGTAAATTTTCAAAGGACGTTTATATAACGAAATTGATGGAAACAATTTCTTTATGAAAGTAGGAAGATAGGAAAACGATAGATTGTTGAGCGAAAAAAAAATTACTTTTACTTGGTAAGTTATCTTCGAAAGTGCTTTATAAAAATGAATCTTCTACTGTGAAACTTCTTTCTCTAAATAACATGTATGATAACATGTATGATAACATGTATGATAATGTGTTATTGATGGAAACAATTTTTCCACGAAAGCAGAGAAAGAAGTGAAAAACCGTTAAGGGAAAAGAGGAAATTTTACATTCGATACACTATCTTCTAAAGGATATGTAATTTGCAGTTTTTCAGGTATTTTACTATTTTACTACCGTATTTCACGTATTTTATCATCGCACTAGAACAGACTCTTGAGTTGGTATCAAGAGCTATGCATGTTTTGAGATTCTGATTGGCAGTTTTATTAAAATCGTATTACAACAGCTTCTTCTATAGCTATCTATCTAGCGGAGAGATAATTGTCTCTGTTACAAGCATTAGATATTTTTATGTCTCTATCATTACACGCAGCACCGACAAATACGACATAGAAGTTTTCAGGATGCTCATGTAGGTGGGTAGATCCACCACAATGAAATTTCCAGCTTGCAACTTAATCGGAAGCTGGCTCCACATAATGATGAATGCTATGTTTTTTGTCGACTTCGCCGGAAGATCGTACCATGCGCTTTGATAAGCGGACTGCGCAACTTCTTCCATTTGAGATTTCAAGTAATCACCGACCATACTGTATACCGTCAACTGCGCGAGAAAAGCGCTAAGTACCAAGACACTTTTCGACATCATGCCGAAGTCGCTGGTTTTCAAAGCTATAATAAACTGAAATCCTGTGAGAACATACATTTATCTAATATAGATTTTCATAGAGTTATTTATCTTGTCATCAATGGGTGTGATATTAGCGATAATGTATGCACCTAGTATGCATATGAGTATGCTGCTGATGAAGAGCTGCACTAGCAAAACGAAACTGATCGTTTCGGCGAGTTTTCTGGACATTCTTATCAGATGATCGTGTCTTCGAATTAGCGCGTTAAAACGTTCGCAGACTTCCGGGCCTTTAACGTCAAAGTCAGTGAAAGCAACCTTGAGAATTTTTAATTGGCCGCAAACGTGCAACGCGATTTGGAGGAACAAAGAATCGCTACCTTTAAAAATCATATAAAAAAATATGACGATTAAAAATATGATGATAATTTACTGCAAAGAGAGATAAAATACACAATTTGATCTTTAACAAACATTTGTTAACAACAAATATATGCTAAAGAGCGTCAAACATATATAACACACCGATCTTTCACGAGAAATCAACGTCATATATACATACATATGTATAACAGCAATTTTTTTTCTTTTGTATTTTCATATAAGCATGTTATGTTTGCATCATACAAGAAAAATTCATATAAGAAGAATTCAGGATAAGAAGAATTCAGGATAAGAAGAATTCAGTACGTAGAAACAATTTCCCGAATGAAATGTAAACGTGTCAAGGCTTATTATAATTTGACAAAAAAACTTAAGACGGATTAATATCTCATAGTTGCAAGTAATATTTCTCCATAGTAGTTATAATTGACTTGATTACCATGATTCCCGAGGCACATAATCACTAATAATACAGTCTCCACTGCAAAGATCACCGTGAATGTGTTCTTCGAGATGTAGAAGTGCGCGAAAGTGCACGTTGACGGAATAGCGTATCCTGATCGAAGGCCCTCAATGGACGTGTTGAAGTGGAAATCCCTGGTGCTCGTTGCCGAGTGGCCCACGATGAAGATCACCGAGTCGACGTAAGAGATCAACAGAGCGATAATGCAGATTATCCTTCCTAGGAAAGCGTGTTTTCGCATAATAGCGCGTTTCTCCTCGTTGTCGATCGCGCGATAATCGCTCATAGCCGATGAATAGTTGCAAAACAGGTTTCCGGCATACATACGGAACCATGTTATTTTCAATACAGCGAGTATGCCACATGAGAAGAGCGTTAGAGCGTCGAGTTGCGCGTACGCTCCGGCGCAATTGTAATAGAGTTCAAGAAACTGAACGACCACCGTCACAGCCTGCACAGACAATAAGAATAAATAATAAAACAGAATAGTTCATCTATGAGGCTGCCTTATCGTCTCTTCATTTTTGACGTGTCGATACTATCCAAAACACCGTGCCCATGTGTTGACAAACACAGACTTTTCGCTACTTTGTAAGCGGGTCGCTTGTTAAACTCTCAACGTGAATGTGACAGTCACGAGTACAGTTGGACTTCGGTACTGCGTTTTTGCGACGTGGAAACTGAAAACATACCAATCCAACGGTAGACACGGCAAAACGCACCAAGGCGAATTTATTGAATTCATGCAAGGGCCAACCACCCAAGGGTATAGTTAAGAGTTTGATAGGAGTCATAGCGTATACTACATCCTCCTTCCATGACATTATCGTAATCGAATAGGAACTGAATTGCACAATGCTTGCTATTGCTGGTCGTTGTCCATAACATGGGTCGATCACTGATGATGACCGCTTTTATGTTCATATTTTATTGATCTCACGCAATTTTTTTTAACGCGTTCCGTCAGTTTCGAAAGTACCGTTGTTAAAAAAAATTGCTGGAAAGAATGTTTTATGAAAGTAAAGAGAGAGTTCTCTTTTTTTACTTCGGTAAGCCCATTTTCAGTTGAACATGGATGGTTTTGTTGATAATGTTGTAATATCTCTTCTTGTCTAAAGTCGTATCTTTCATGTAACAATACGGTGTACGATTTAAGATGGAATTTGGTGTCCAGATTAGTTTTCGAAGAAACGTAGGTAATTAAAGAATTTTTCCGACAAACTTTGTATCGTATTGTTGTTGTACGAAAGAAGGCTGCACGTTCTTCAGCCCCGTATTGGCACACGCGGACGAATATACAGGGTGTCCCGACACTACTGCATTATCTCTTAAGGACGAATTCCTGAGATAATTTGAAGAAAAAAATCCCAATGCAAAAATGTTGAAGCTATAATACTTTTCAAATTATAAACGATTAAAGTTGGCCAATTATATTGGCTAAAATACGCGCACTCAAGTACAACACAATGGTACAAGTGCGTGCACATAAGTGAGAATTTGCATAAGATATAAAATTAGTTGCAAATCTCTGAAAGAAACGTCAAATGTGTGACAGCTTATTGATTCTCATAAATGTATTGATATTTTATTCATAACATTTTGACAAAATTGTTAGTATTTGCGATATGTTTATTTAAATGATAGAAAAGGCAGATTGTTATTACATACGTTGTTTTATGTGTGGAACTTCCATATCAATATTTGGAAAAGGGACGACATGTGCATGCACTTGTACCATTATGTTGTATCGTACCTGAGCGCGCGTACTTTAGCCAATATAATTGGTCAACTTTAATCGTTTATAATTTGAAAAGCCTCGCTTATTATAGCCTTATTATAGCCTCGCCATTTTTGCATTAGGATTCTTTTATTCAAATCATCTCAGGAATCCGCCCTTAAAAGACAATGTGGTAGTGGCAGGACACCCTGTATTTTGACTTGGTGATTTTATTAGAATGATAATTAAGAGATACGCTACGCTATTTTTGTAGATCTCTATATTGCGGAATTTTACTTATATTGCGGTCTGTTACAGAATCATAATACATATTTTTCTTTTTATTGTGCGTATCAAGCATTTTTTATGCCTCCACTATCACGCGTAAAACAGACAGGTAGGACATCGACGTTTTGACGATGCTCATAAAAGTCGACAGATTTACGACGATGAAATTCCCAGCTTGAAATTTGACAGGACTTTGATCCCACATCATAATGAAAACTATGTTTCTCGTCACAGTCAGAGGAAGATTGTACCAAGTACTTTGATAAATAGACAATCCAACTTCTTCCATTTGGGACTTCAAGTAGTCTCCGACAAAACTGTATGAAGATAACTGTACCATAAAGGCGCTCAATACCACGATGCTTTTCGCCAGCATTGCGTAATCGCTGGTCTTCAACGCAAGGATAAGTTCAAATCCTGCGGGGACATTTGTCTATTTAGTCTAAGCGCTTTTATAATGCATCCTTTCTTTACTAATACATACTGGAGATGTCGGGAATATTAAAAAAGCGGCAACATACTCACCTATTACACACAGAAGAATGCTGCTAAAAAAGAACTGTACCAACATAACAAGACTGATCGTCTCGGCGAGTTTACTGGTCAATGTTATCAGATAGTTGTGTCTTTCGACTAATACGTTGAAGCGCTCCTGGACTCTCGGACTCGCAGTGTCGAAATTGGTGAAATCGGTCTTCAGAATTTCCACTTGGCCGCAAATGTGCAATGTAGCATTGAGAAACAAAGCGTCGGTACCTTCGTGAGAGACAAGATAATAAATTTTATTAGATTTCTTTAAATAATAATATAACAGTCTTTTACTATTTCAAGTTCATTCTAAATTTGTGGTATTAATGATCGCTTCAACAAATCACACAGAAAAAAAAGATATAATCCACATAATCAAAAATATTTAATTATAAGCAAAATAGTTGCATCACTCTTATTATCTTTGTGAGATGTTAATAGGTATGGTTGATATGTTACTTTGGTACATCAACTACAGGGTGCGGCGCCAAAATCCGGACAAAACTCAATTTGAAATTCTCGCCGTTCTATACCACTGGTAGATGTCGCGATTAGCGTTCAAATAGCTTGACGCGTGTACTAAACTATCATAACCTTGAAACAGTCGTAATGTTGAAACCAAGTGCAGAGTATAACCGAAGAGCCGCGATTATCGAAAGTGTTCGCGCTGAGCGCTCGGCAACAGAAATCATTCGGTTCTTCAGGTACCCGAGATCGACTGTGTATGATGATCGACTGTGTAAACACATGCTTCCTTTCTTGTTCCACCCGAGATTTTTTTGTTCTGAGTTGTGCTAGGCTTAAGAATTATAGTTTTAGAGTATGAGACTCGTAGCGTCATCCGTTCTCCGAAAATTCGAAAAAAAATCGATTTGACATTTCGAAACGTCAGTTGGCCATTATACTGCGTATGTACGTAATGGTACCAATTGGGTTGAATATGACGACTTGTTGCGTAAGCCAAAAAAACTTTCCGTTCAAGCTAAAGGCAAT